TCCAGCCCACCAGATACCAATGAACATTTACAGAGAGCATATCAACAGTAAATTCAGTATCCAGTTGAGGGACTCCCACGAGCTACACCGATGGAGTGTGACAGCACCCCATGCGTTCTGGATTGATCTCTGGGACTATGTCGGCTTGATACCCGCACTGCCTCTGGGAGTAAAGCATGCATACAATCCGGTCCTATCCATTTCAGAGGTTCCGCCATTCTTCGAAGGAGCATTGATCAACTATGCGGAGAACGTATTGAGCCAGCCGCTAGTGGATGACCAGAGCCCTGCTCTAATCGGCTTGAGCGAGTGTCAACACCTCGAGGGCGAAGTCTGGACATGGTCCTTGTTGCGAGAGAATGTGCGGAGGATCAGAAGCGCTCTTCTCAGAAGCGGCATTCAAAGAGGTGATAGAGTGGCTGCTCTGATATCTACATCGGTCTGGTCAGTTGCCCTGCTCCTTGGATCAGCGAGCATAGGAGCCATCTTTACCTCGATTGCTCCTGATCTTGGGCTAGAGGTAAGATCCCAGTGACTAGTGAGTTCTTTAATATAATATTGACTCTCCAGGGATGTACTTCCCGGCTGCAACAAGTCCAGCCTTCTATATTGTTCGCCGATAGCCACTACATCTACAAAGGTCAACAGCATTCCAATACATCCAAGATTTCGTCAATCATGAAGCTTCTCGGCCCGAATTTGGAGCTGTTTGTCGTACCTAAAGGGCCGGTGGGGCCATTTCGCCCTCTATCAGATTTCCTAGGTAGGTCCAAAGAGACTGATGGTCTAAAATTTGCCAGGCTCCCATTCACAACACCTCTTTACATTCTCTACTCCAGCGGAACCTCTGGCCCTCCCAAATGTCTCGTGCACAGCCATGCCGCCATCATACAACACAAGAAGATCGGGAAGCTTCATAATTCTCTGAAGCCAGGAGAGGTTGTGTTTCAATATTCGAGTACATCGTGGGTTCTCTGGAACATTATGATCGGACACTTAGCTATGGGGACCACCCTCGTCCTATATGACGGATCTCCTACCTGGCCAAAACCTCAGCGCATGCTCGAAGTTGTCGAGAAGTTCCGTGTGAACTACTGGGGCGTCTCGCCAAAGTATCTCAAGGAATTGGAATCGACAAGGTGTATACCCAAGGCAGAATATGATCTATCGAGTCTCCGGATGGTGCAAACCGGCGGATCTCATCTTGCCGCTGATCAGTACTCCTGGTTCTACGCTGTCTTTCCCTCAAGCGTACATCTCACAAGCGTGACTGGGGGAACCGACTTGGTCACCTCGTGGTGTGGTACTGATCCCGCTGGCCCATTGTTTCCAGGGGAGATCCAGATGCCCATTCTCGGACACGATGTCGACATAGCAGACCCCGTTGATGGCAGTTCTATCAAGAACACTGGGGAAGCAGGGGAGTTCGTCTGTCGACAGCCATTTCCGTCAATGCCAGTCTATATGTGGGCTGATGCAGATGGTGAAAAGTATCGAGCATCATATTTCAGTCGCTATTCATTTCCCTGCTGGGCGCAGCATGATTGGGCTAGTGTCAACCCGGTCACAAAGGGCTGGGTCATTCACGGAAGAAGGTACACCACAAGATATCCAGAGAATTTCATGATAACTAACTCTGACAGTGACGGGGTTCTTAACCCGCAAGGCATCAGGTTCGGCTCCGCAGAGATCTACTCAGTTACAGAAGCGGCACCCTTCTTGGACACGATTTCCACCACCCTCTGCGTCGGTAGAAAGAGGCATGGACTTGATTTTGACGAGTCGGTGTTCCTTTTCGTTGTCATGCGCGCTGGGCACATGTTCTCCAATGAACTAGAGCAACTACTGAAGAGCACTATCCGCAAGTCCCTTAGTCCCAGACATGTTCCGCGCTTCGTGGTCGAAGTCAAAGAGATTCCGATGACATCAAATGGGAAGAAGGTCGAGACCTTGGTCAAGGAGACCATCTCAACCGGGAAGATGCCACGGACGATAAGTTCCACGGTGATAAATCCTGGGTGTCTGAGAGCTTTCCAGCACTTCTACAGCCTCGAACCGCAGGTTCGCCCAAGACTATAGAATCTTTCCCATGGTTTATTTTTAGTCGATCTAGAAATCATGTTATGACCTTGCCCGTCATCTCCTGCTCCAGTTGACGATTGAATGTGCTCATGCCCGGGAGGAATATATTCTGAATGAGAATACCTGCTTTCCCTTTCTTTCGGGATCATTCGGGGTTTTAAAAGCCAATCTTTTTTGTCCCGCCTCGTAATGCCGAAACCCCGCAAACAGGGTAAGTCATAGCCGATGAATCATTTCCGCACCGGCGTTGAATGTCTTCTTTACAACATCAGTGTCCCATGAGACGAAGGTGGCACAAATGTCAACATCGACCAGGATCCGGAAAGCATGCGACATATGTCATCGAAGAAAGGTAGTAAACTCCAGAGGGGGATCAAATGGATAAACTGATGGCAACCCTGTTTAGATCAAATGTGACTTTAGCTCTTGCAATCAGCCATGCAGTAATTGCAGGTTGGCAAGCCTTCCATGCAAACCGCATCAAAGAAAGCGGCCCCGATACTTGCCAACAAGCGAATCTCATCCACAGAGCCCCAGAAGTTTTACTCCGCTCAATGAAAATGGCAGATCACCGTCAACACCAGCGAAGACTCCTCAGTCCGTGGATAATCAGACTCAAACGCCGACCAACAGGCCTAGACGGCAGTGGGAGAGTGTCGATATTGAGGTAGGTGCAGAACCTTTAGCAGAGACAACTGAGAGAGAACCCGACGCATCGCCCGAATATGTGGCCACCACGGCAAGCCATGTCGGCAGAAGCGACTATATTGGGAGCAGTGATATCAGATTCCGAGAGGAGATGGTGCAGGGTCAAAGCGATGCCTCACGACTATCACACACAGACTCTGCGCTACTCCAACTACAAAACGCATTCGAGTTGCCCCAGAGGTCTGTACTCGCCAGTCTCGTCGACAGCTACTTCAAGTATTGTTCTCCTTGGACGCCCGTTTTGGAACCTCCGGATGTGGAGGATCTCCATGCCAATGGAACATCTCCTCTCTTACTCAACGCCGTGCTTCTTGCTGGGAGCCGTGTGGCATCGAGTGATACTCTTTCGGCTTCTGCTGAGGAGTTTTACCGCAAAGCTAGGTTGCTATTCGTCTTGGGCCATGAAAGGGACGCGCTCGCCTCCATTATGGCTGTGACGCTGCTTCAATGGTACAATCCCACGGGTCCAGAGCATATCTCGACTAGCACGAGTGGATTTTGGGTGCGTATCGCGGCCGGATTAGCATACCAGGTTGGACTGCACCGAGAACCTGTCACCGGCAAGGACAGGTATCTCCGCAGGAGACTATGGTGGTTAATTGTGGTAAGTCCTGCTCGTCTCAGAGCAGACTGAAGATCTGTTGATCACTCCCAGTGCCGAGACGATGTTATATCCATAGGAACTGGTCGACCTAGGACAATTAACCTGGATGACAGCGATGTCGCTCCTCTGGCCGCCAACGACTTCTCAAGCCCAGACAGCAAGGCACGGTTGTTCTTGGCTTACTCGGGGATTATTCGTCTTCTGGCAGATCTGACCGAAAACATCCGACGCAAGACCATGACGGGAAAGATACAAACCTTTTTAGAGAATGCCCTTTACCGCTGGATCAAGGATTTACCAGCAGAATTCCAGCTCTTCCATGGATCGCCAAAGAAGCTCAGAGCCTACAACTTTGAGGGAAGACAGCTCTTGATCCCATATTTTGTGTTTCTCGTAATACTTTCTCGGCATTCCGCATCGCGAAATCAGTCCATATGCATGTCGTTCGTTGCCTCCTCGTTCGTGGCCGGAATTTTCGAGGACATCTTAAACAGGGGCGAGCTCTGTCATTGCGGGCCAGTATTTACATTTTACGCGTTTGCGGCTGGTCTTGCTCAGATGCTGGCGCTACGCTACGGCTTTCTCCACGATACTGCCGAGGAATCGTTGTCTATCATACAATCATCTCTGGCGGAGCTGAAGAAGAGATGGGGATCTGCTGATGGTGCCCTGGCTGCTTTAGCCGAGATGAAGCGTCTGACTCTGAAGAGCCCCAGTCTGGGCGATACACCAGAGCCTGATATTGAGAGGCTCAAGGAGTTTGTGGATGATTTCGGCCCGGACCTATGCAAACAGTACCAACTTTCAGAACACGACAGCTTTTCCGCGCACGTTACTCACACCTCATCTTCATTATCCCATCCAAGATATACCGATATGACACAGGGTTTTAGAGGGTCGATGAATACTCTCAACGACAGCCGAACATCTGGTCTGCAAGACCCCCGGTCCGAACACATGGACTCTCCCTTTACAGGACCAAGCAATCTGTTCTTTGGCGACTTAGATCCTTTTTCAGGGTGGATAGACGACTTGGAACTGGGCTTGATGACTTATTGATTGTTAAATATTTCTTGTTCGGTATCCACGTGCTGAAGTCTGAGAAGCCTGACGAGAGGGTTAACGATCGATACATAACAAGCCGCTACTACCTTGTACTAATGAAGTTAATGACCAGCATGAAAGAGGCTGAGTTATTGGAGGATGGTTTAGAGGAGAATTTACCCCAGAACAACCGATATCACAGCCGTCAGGGGCCCGGGGGTATGCAGACCACCACTCATGACGGGTGGGATGGGTGTCTGTGTAGTTTGAAAACTATCTATAGGGCAATTCGAGAATGCGAGATTACATGACGGCCTACTTGTGAGTTAGGCCATGGAGAACCTCGCATCGATGTTTGAAATGCTTTCCCAGGAGATATATCATGTAGGATCCCTTGTTCGCCTCTGCTGATGTGATAAAATGCTTCAAGACTCAACTCAGCAGTCGCACAAGCATAGTTCAAAAGAAAAGCATCGACTACAAAAAGCCACCTCTGACACTGTTGATCCCGGTCATTTCCGTGCTGGGTTTTCGGGCTACTAGTACTGACGGTTCGTCTCCTTTAGTCCAATCTTGGGCCATGGTACGACCTTCGGGCAAAAAGTACCCAGTTGAGTGCCGCAAATAGTGCCATAACCCCAATCACAGCAGATGTATAATCTTACACGGAGTCAGTTGGCAAATACCGACCTGTAACTGTGGCAGACTTACTCATGTTTGAACCGCTTACCGGGATGACAACCGGGAAATCGTAGAAGATCAAGACCACGACAGCGAAGGCGACGGTAGAGAGGTTGACAACCCAGCCAACCGGGCTGAACAGCTTGAATGGCCTGTTGATAGGCAGATACATTGAAGACCGCCTCCTATACATCAGCAGGGCAGCTGGAATTGCATACGTGGCTTGTTGCAGGATGAGACCCGTCCCGATAAAGGCATTGAAAGCCGTCGAAGATCCGAGGAAGATGAAGCCGATGATGAATACAATGGTATTGTTGGCCAGGAGCGCCCAGACTGGAACTTGCAGGGACGGATGAACATGACCGAGAAATCTGGACCAGATCAAAGCCTCATCTCGTGCAAGTGACCACGTCAGGCGTGAAGCTGTTTGCTGAACGGCAATGAGTGCCACTGTGGCTGCTGTGAGGAGAATGGCCATGAAGATCGTGGCTGCGGTACTAGATCTGGTCGCTTGTAACCAGATCTCATAGATTGGAAACCTACGCTGCATTAGCAATCGTACTATGCACAGGGGATCATATGCGTCTCCTCACCCAGTAGGGGTACCAAGTACGGCGTCGAAGTCTGCAATACAGTATGTCATTGACACCGCGAACATAAAACTTGTGATGAATCCAATTGTTAAGGTGCTGACGATGGCCCTCGGGACAACCTTCTCGGCCTGTTTGCACTCTTCGGCAAGATGGATTGCGCCGTCAATGCCTGCGTACATGTAATTTGGTGATACCAGTCCCGTCAGAAAGCTGATGCCAGCAGGCCAGCCGCTTTCGTTCACAAAGTTGGTCCAAACGAACTCGCTGCTCTGCTTATGGGGTGCTCGAGCCAGGCAGGTAATGATTATCGTGACGAAACCTGTCAAGGTGATCACAACTGTCGCACGAATCAGCAAAATGCCAGTAGACAGCAGAGACCGTGACTTACATGAAACATCATTGACCCACATGGTCTTCTTCAATGAGAAGATATTGTGCATGCAAACCAGGAAATTGACGGCTTGATAAAGGAGGAAGTAATGCCAGGTTTGAGCCACGTAGCCAGGTTGATAGTGGACGACCATAGCCAGGATGACCTGCGGGACAATGATGGCGATGCCGGCTGTGGTAGCAATCCAGGCATAAGCATTGGTGATGCCGCACGCATAGCTCTATCCGCGCAATTAGCAGAGTACTAACACTTCTGGGTTCAGCAAAGCAATGAGCACCATACCAAGAAACGACTGGCCTTTGGAGGTGCCAATATAGAAGTCCAATGATACCTGCAACAAGTTCTAGTCCCGTCCAGCTCTATAAAGGCAGCGAGACTTACTGGCCCCCAGCAGTCGGATAGACCGATGCAAGCTCTCCCATAGTTAATCCGCTGCACCCGATCATGATGAAACAAACAACGACACCATAAATGAGGGTCACAGAACCCCCTTGAGCAATTGTCAAGGCCAAAGTGGCTGCCACTCCAGCCCAACTGTTGCAGATATTCCAACCAACACAGATTGTATCAAGGGGTCCAATGTCCCTCTGGGTCTCTTGACGAAGGCCTAATGCGGAGAGTTCAACCGTTCGGAATGTTCCTTGGTGCTGAGTCTCAACTGCGGTTATATGAGAAACTTGTCAGTCACCCATATCTGGTAGACTGCATGGAAGCAGCTATAGAAAAGCCACATGCGAGAATGGGGCTCTGTCCATACCTTGTTCAAGCCGATCGAGGGGTTGGGTGCCGTACGCATGATTTCCGACCTTCTCTGTCTCAACGGATCTCATCTTGATGGTCTGAGGCGCTACTAGTTGATAAGGACAGGGCGCAGTTGGTGAGACAAAGGTCATTCATCAAGTCCGCGTCGAAAAACATGAGCTTCCACCGCTTTAATAGACACATGGATGAACGTTTGTAGTGCAAAGATAGAGACCTGCGGAATGGGCCCGTTGACCCTCCACCCCGGACCCCAGACTTGGCAGTCCTAAAAGGGAATGTTAAGTGAGTGCTCTAACCGCTCTAGGTAAGCGCTTCCGTGGGCTGCTCTGAGCCAAACTTTATTTTCCAGAAGGGGAAGCCCGGACGAAAGTGCATTCCCTTTGCCACTCCACTCAAACCAATGAATGCTCCAAGACGATGATATGTTTATCAGACGTCTACTTCTCAATCCATTTCACATCAAAAGGAGTAATAGAGTCCCGTTCTCTGTTGCCTAAAACGACGGGGCAGGCCGGCAGCGGAATTTCACACAGTTGCCTTCAAAACCTATTTATTTCTACGCGCCCCTGCACATGTAGAATAAATTCCCTATCTCCCAGCAAGGCCACTTTATCAACAGTACTAGTACTATAATCAAAGAGAAAACATGCACAGATCGCGAGAAGGTTGGCATTGGACCCCTGGTACGGGGCTCCAAGCTGGCATCCCAACAATTGCAGTGGTGGAACCGTCACACATGATTCGAAATCCCAAAGACTCGCTTGATGTGATTGTTATCGGCGCAGGATATACAGGGCTCACAGCGGCCAGAGACACATCAACTGCCGGTTAGTTTGGTTGAGCTGAAAGACCTCGTTCAACCAACCTTTCTTCTGCTAACCAACACACAGGCTTGAGAACACTGTTGCTAGAGGGCCGAGACAGAATTGGAGGCCGAACCTGGTCATCCGATATTGACGGATATCCTTACGAAATGGGAGGCACGTGGGTTCATTGGTTTCAGCCACATGTCTATCGTGAACTGTCAAGATATGGGATGAAGGACCAGCTAGTGCATTCTACCGACTACAGTAAGAAGCACAATTTCTTCACCTTCAAGACAGCAGCAGGGACCAGGAACATGAGTCACGAAGAAGAGGTGAGTCCGGCGCAGGCCTCAAGTCTTTTATGCTGACTTACCCTGTCCAGGATGCTCTTTTCGCTCGGGCAATAGAGAAATTCGTCAATGTCGACGGCAACCTTGGGAGGACCATCATGCCTTTCCCTTTCAACGCATACTGGAACGAAGATGTGTTCAAGTATTCCAACCTGTCGGTAGCAGAGAGAATAGCCCAAATAAGCCACGATCTTTCCAGCGACGAGAGGCACGCTATCGAAGCCTTTGTGCTCCTTTGCAGTGGTGGAACGAGGGAAAACTCGGCATTCCTTGACTTTCTCCGGTGGTGGGCCGCAGCCAATTACGACTACAAAACGCTTCTGGACACCATCATTGTTTTCAAGTTGAAGTGTGGTCAATCTGGCTTCGCAAGACGCTTTTTCGAGGAAGCACTGATAAGTGGCAATCTTTCATACTCTTTCAACGCGCCTGTGGCGGCGGTCGATTCCTCAAAAGGTTTGGTAGAAGTCAGGACAAAGGACGGCCAACGTTTTTTGGCGAAAAAGGTCATTTGCACGGCGCCGTTGAACGTACTCGAGAACATTGAATTCAACCCGCCACTGGATCAAGCGAAGCGCGAGGCTGCTGCATTGAAGCATGTCAATCAATGTGTCAAGGTCCATGCAGAAGTTAAAGACCCAGAGATGAGGTCTTGGAGCGGCGTCACTTATCCTCATAATAAACTCGTTATCGGAGTGGCAGATGGCACAACCCCGGCAGGAAAAACTCACTGTGTCTTTTTTGGATGTGATGCCAATCATATGCATGCCGATGAGGACATCGATCAGACCCTCGGGGCTATTAAGGAGTTTGGCCCTATGGAGGTTGACCGTGTTGTGAGTGTGAAATCAACTCAGGTCCCAGGGGAAGTGAAGCTGACCAGTTCCACATAGGTATTCCACAACTGGTCTAAGGATGAATTCGCCAAGGGAGCATGGTAAGGAGAATCCCCTTGACGTGACCCAGACCATCACTGCTAACAGTGTTCAGGGTGTGGTATAGGCCAGGTATGGAGGTGCAGTACCTTGAGGCTCTCAGGAGGAGGCAGGGATCCGTGCTGTTTGCTAACTCGGATTGGGCTGCGGGGGGATGGAGGAGTTTTATCGATGGCGCCATTCAATCGGGAACTGAAGCGGCATTGACAGTTCGACAGGAGCTGCGGCCAGTTTCGAGAACAAGTCATTTGTAGCGGAGGATAAGAGGGCAGTATGAGAGTTTTCATCGCCGAAGTACAAGCATACAGTACCGTATATGGCATGACATGTAGGTGTTAAGGTACCCTAAAATATCGAGCTCTTTTGCGTCACGATAATGTGACAGAAATTGAGGCTGTGCATAAAAGTGGCTGATCCTCGGGCCGCACGTGATTGTGGCGTAGTGGCGCAGTGCAACGAGTTCTCAGATGAAGGAATTCGCAAGAGACTCACTCCATTGCAACCTCCAGCACATCCGAATTCCTCGCCATCAAATGTTCTCCTCGTGTTCGCCTAAGCATCCACCAATCTCGCTACACAGAGTCCTGCTCACTATGGCTCCATGTCAAAGCATGGCAGTGTTCCTCGATGCCCACAGATAAAATGCCAAAGGAGCTTATAGGTGAGTTCGTTGTATGCTTCCGAGCCCGACATCCGTGCTAAACGACCATATAGGTTGCCACAATTGCTCGCGGCGACGCATCAAGTGCGACCAGTCCCGTCCAAAATGCAACAAGTGCTTGCGGAAGGGTCTTGACTGCCCCGGGTACGGGATCCGATACAGATTCAATGATGGTATAGCTTCACGCGGCAGATTTACGGGCCGCACAATTCCAATCGACCAGGCCGCAAGTACTCAAGGGCCGCTGGAGCACAGGACAACGCCGGTCCTATTGTGGCCAGATGGCACCACGACTTCAACACTCACCCAAGCCGACCCGGTGATAGAATCCCGTGGTTATGAGGACACAGAACTGCTTTCAGAAGGCGATCATAACTTGCCAACTTTGTCCGCCGACATTGCAGACATTGCAGACAGCGAGCAGCATCTATCTTTCATGAGAGCATTTACTGCGGCCTCGTCAGAGTTATTGCTCGAACCCATAGTCTGCCTTTTATGCAACTCGACACATCAGCACGGAGTCTGCCCCAATCAGGTTTCACCACCCCTCCAGCTTGTCGGTCCGCAGTATCGAGAATTATTCGCACATTTTTCATCAACAATTGCACCGGTGATGGTGGTCTTGGACGGCAAATTCAACGGCTATCGTGATCTTATACTGCCACTTGCCTTTGAAGATCATCTTGTCAGGTCTGCAGTATGCGTCGTCGCGATGCAGCACCTCGCTTATCAACAGCCGGGATTGCAGTCTCGTGCTGAAGCAGGCTTTCAGTCGATCATCTCTGAGCTGCGCTTACGCACATCCACTCAAGCAGATCTCCTCGACATTTCCGCTTGGACCACGATAATTATCCTGTTAACCGGCGAGACCATCACTGGCGGTACCAACTTACCCTACTTGTTCAAGATCCTTCAGCACCTCGCCGCTGCGAACACAAAGGATGGCCGAAATAGCGTAATGCACTCATTCCTGATGGAGCAGACTCGTATGATGACTCTCTTTGCTCAGCCTCTCTTAGGAGAGAGCTCTGGGACTCTGACCCTGAGCACCCGACCAGCAGCGTACTTTGAGTTCATCTCCAACGCAGCTATTTTTCACCCTATGCTTGCACCCCAGATCGGTTTATATAAGTCTGCCATACATATGGCCTGCAACATATACTTGAAGCGTGTCACAAGCGGTCCACCTCACAGTGAGACTGTTGCGGATCTCGCTCGCCTGAAAGGACTGTGTGAACGGATTCAACCCACTACACCAGGACATCATACGCTTGTCTGGGTCTACTTTATCGCCGCAGCGGAGAGTTCGACACTGGAACATCGCGACTTCTTCACTATGCGACTGCAAGAGGTCTTCTCGCGCACCCGATTCCATAACATCCCGACTGCACTTGCAGCGTTGCAGGAGTTCTGGAAGGTCCAATCGGAGAGAAGGTGGACTGAGATTCTACCAGAAGTCATGCCTGTCTTCATAATCTGACAAGGGTCAGAAGGTCTTCTACTACACCCCGCTTTGAATTCCAAGGTAGTCTGCGATAATGTGAAGAGGCTGCATCCTTACGCTGACGTCAAGTCAAATGGGCTGTCTGTCGAGGTCTCCCTCGTCGGAATTTACGCAATCACCGCCTACTCCCCCGTCATTAGGAAAATCAGTTTACACGTGAGACTTTGCACTTCTAATCGCCCTTCGAAGTTTAGATTTTGCACCTGTGTGTGCATTCAAGGTTTCGATTATTTCTGGCATGAAAGAGTTCTACCTGCAACTCGCCCTGTTTAAGAGCCAATGAGCGGGGCAACAGGAATCACGCAGTCTCATAGAGGCACTCCATCGTACCAAGTCTTTACCCCTCCTTGTAAACCCTGTAATGGGAGGACAAATCGACGATAGCTACGAAATCATCCCACTTCCCAAACGATATACCTTCATCTTTACAAATTTTGTACTGTGGGACCGTGTCGGGGCCTTGAGTCCTTTTTCTTCTCCCAGCCTCGTCATCTGCCACTTCCAACCTTGTCTGCCAACTTTTAGATTCAACTATACATTCGGTTAACCCCGTTGTGAATCTGATCAAATTCATCGGAATGGAGCCTACACCAATGGATCCCGAGGTGGTCACTGGCAGATCGCGTATTGCTATCCTCGGTGCTGGAAGCGTGGGCTCAGCAATAGCACTCTGCCTTATCTTGAACCCAGTTGCAAGCGAGATTCTTCTGGTTGACCCGAATACCAAACAACGAGATGCGCAAGTCAGAGACCTCGAAGATACCACCACTTACCATGGCGCTGTTGGGTTCGTTAAATTGATGCGTGGTCCGACACTCGACTAACTAATCAATCGACAGTGGCGGCGGAGTCAGAATACGGTCTGCAACACACAGGGAGGCTGGACAATGCGATATCGTGGTCATCAGCGCGGGTGCAAAACAGAGACAAGGTAGCAATGCCATTTGCTGAGTTCCATGCGAATGTCCACTAATCATAACCTCTTCTAGGCGAATCACGGACCGATTTACTGGGTCGTAACCTCGCAATTCTGAAGTCTGCTACAGATGATATGAAACCATTCCGCGAGGACACAGTCATTCTTCTCGTGGCAAATCCTGTGGACATACTAACCTACTTCTGCCAGAGGTTCTCCGGGCTACCTCAAGGTCAGATCATCGGCAGCGGGACTTTCCTCGACACTGCAAGACTGAGAGGCATCCTGGCTGCAAAGCTGGGAGTCGACGCAGGCAGCGTCGATGCCTATGTCCTTGGTGAACATGGAGAATCACAGATGGTATGCCGTCACGGACCAAAGATCACCTCGGTGTTGTTGAGCTGATCAGAAGCTACAGGTTGCTTGGTCTTGCGTCACCATCGGTGCCGTGCCGCTGGATCATTGTCTGCCACCAGGAGCGTTCATTGACCGCAAGGCCGTTGCGTTGGAGACAAAAGACAAGGCGGCAAAGATCATTGAGGCCAAAGGGGCGACAGCTTACGGCATCGGCGCTCTGAGCGCGGCTATCTGCAAATCGATTCTATTTGATCAACGAAATGTTCGTCCCATTTCTCACTGGGTTGACCAGCTAGGATGCTGCTTGAGTTTACCGGTCGTCCTAGGACGACGGGGAATAGTCAGATCCCTCAGCATCCCCCTGAATCAAGAGGAGAGGATGCTTCTGGTCAAGAGTGCCGACGCCTTGAAAAAGCTGATTCAAGAAGCGGAAGCGACTCAGCTGTAGCGGCCAAAGATTACCGCGTCCTGCACTGACCAACTCTCACTTCCTTTGCCTGCGAGGTAATCTGCGTTTAACGCTCTGCCAGCACCAAAGAAGCCTGGAGCGTTTCGAAAAGACAAATGGAGGAGCTTCTGACATGACAGCTTCGGTGGAGGTGTTTATGGAGCACGAAAGAGGCGGTTTGGGCAGTGTGTATCGTTCAAGGTGGATTCGTCTGAAACTGACAATATTTCCCTCACGATGCACAGAGGCCTGTCATTGTCATAATTCTCCACGGGATTGCGATGAATATTTGTATTTCGGGGTTCGTACAGGGGCGTATTGTTTTGTCCGAAGTGGTTCTGGCGGTGAAATTGGGTTATTACGGCCTTATCGAATACCTTGAAGCTAGTGCTTTGATGGTTGGATACAAGGCGCGGCGATTATTCGTGCTACCTCCAAGCTTTTCAGTACTCATTCTTTATCTGCGTGCACAAGATGGTTAAGAAAGTAGTTCCTCAATTGATCCCAGTAAGAACGTTCTGTGCGCACTCAACCACCACGTAGCCCTTGCGGTCTCCCCACTGCAACGCACCACACTGAAGAGTATGTGTGTGGACCGCTCTTCCAGAGGTGTTTGACTGTTCCCATAGTGTTCCAGCCCTCGCAATACCCTACACTCCTGCTTTGGCTGATCCGCCTAATGTAACCTACAAGCGTTGTAATCTCAATAACAAGAGAAAACTTTGTTCTGCCTATGTCGAAGTTTCACTCCTTGCCACCGCCTCTCTCTCGTTACCTTGGCCCTCTATTTAAGCGAAGAAAGCCACACGTTAATACCGAATGGCGTGATATCTAACGTAGTTGCAAACGAGGGACGGTGGAGCGTGCTCTAGAACACATTGCTGGAACAAATAGTTGCGGACCATATGAAACGGAGTGTTTCCATTCGAGCTGTAGCCGATGTGGAGCATGTACCCAACTATTGCGAGCAGTTTCAACACATATCCAGTGAATGCAGCCGAGGAATGTGGTCAAGGCCGATCATCTGACGTGTCATGGGTGCTCGTCAAATGCAGAGGTATCCGGCGATCATTGTACCAATCCAAAGTTTGTTCGAAGTTTCTGCATCTGTGGTTCGTGTAGAAGTCAGGTATATACTCTGCCATGGGAAATTCAGGCGTTGACGCGTTGAAGGTTATGAGTGTGAGATCACTCGTGCATTGCAGACTGATGCGGAGCATATCGATACAATGATCTGCATGCGTACTTAGTGTCGCTCTTTGGCGAGAACGGCTCGACTTACCAAGGTGCTCCTGGATCATATGAGGTGTTGTCTTGAACATAATCTCTTTGTCGGCGTAATATTCGAAATGAGTCGCTTTCCGCAGAAGATTCTGGTACATTGGTTACATAAACCCTCTTCGACAGCCAATGATGAGGAAGCTCACCAGGCAGTGTAACTGGTGGAAAACCTCTAGATTGGCAGCATACTGGCCGCCTTTGTCCTCGGGGTATCTGATTGAAGACTCCAAGGATTTCCCAACCTTGACAACTTCAGAGGCTGAAATGGGAAATGGGTCCTCTATTTGGACTTAATGTAAGTGCACGTCAACGTCTCTGGGTTGGTGGAGATAATAAGCATACCTGGAGTGATTCTGTCCCACGCGGCATCACGCTCAGGGCTTGGGGGACCACGAAATCCATTGTCGTTAAACAGCTCGCCGTGGAACATGACCTCCTGATAGGTGCCCACAGAGAAGAGCGCCGGAGCTAGACTTCTTAGCAGACTGGTCGAGTCGGTCCCATTAGATGTCCTTACAGTATGTAGACAGCTGTCTGCTACAGTGTTGGTCGCTCCTCAAGAAAGATATAAGGCCATATGTATAGGTCAAAAGAGCAGCGAAACCCACGAGGACATAGGCGCAGACTATTATCGATATGCAGCCCTGTCTCTTCGTTTGTTTCTTGACATTTTGTGTCGTGTAGAGGAATGGAGTGGATTGATTGTCCGAATGAAAAGGTATCTCTAGGGAAAGCTCAACTGGCTTCATGGTTTGGTCGTGGGCAGGAGTCGAAAGAGGTCGAGAATCTTGATGCACATACGTCCCACTGCTCGCGACGCAAAATCCAGTTTATACTCTTCACACCTCTTGTCGGTGACAATGGACATGCACATAGAGAGCTCCTCTCAGCTTCCAACGCCTGGAATTCGCTTGACTGTGCCACATTGTCGCATCACTGTGTCTCTCGTTGGAATATGCCGCGGACTTGTCAGTAATATTTCGACAAAGAGTGGCCGAACAAGCATTCGAAGACGCAGAGAAATGTTCTGGAATCCTTGGGAGGAGGGACATGGAACGCGACGTGACTTTCGGATAATAGGGTAAATTGTCAGCTGAGCCTTCTTGCGATGATATCGTCATGGCTGGTGCAACCCCAGGCCTCGCATGGGCTTGGCACCTTGGCTCTCTTGGCATCCCCAAAGATCTTGGCATATTGGCATCTTTGCGATTGGTTGCGACGGAAGCGAACGAGGCTGGTATTCCTCCACTCAGCTCGCTACAACGAAACGTTCACTCTCGCGTTGATCGTGCAATTCAATCTTCGCAAACTTTGCAGGTACCTCATGGTAGTTGAGAGGTCTCGCCATCATGGATTCCACTCCTCATGCGACCTCTGCAATGGCTGGGCAAACGTGCTTCTTGAGACCACGAAACCTACTTGGCAGTTCCAACTTGAATGGAAAATCAAAGCAGTGTATATCGAAAGCAAGTCGTCTGGAGAGGGAGATGAAAGGCTATAAGTAGAGACATCCTTCCTCTCTCTCAACAGCTATTTCTCATACGCATTAACAAGCAAAGGCACCAAACCATTCATTATTCACGTTCCAACCAGAGGCAACCTCTTACAACAAAACAAACAAACACTTTTCCACAATGAAGACCGGAGTCATTCTCTCAGCCCTTGCCGGCGTTCTTTTCTCTCAAACACTCGCTGCTCCTCTTGCTCCCGCGGAGCTCGCTCGCGAGGCTCAGAACCAAGAGCTCTCCAATGCTGCAACTCCCATTGCCATACGACTTGCTGGAACTCCAGTTGGTACTCCAATTGCCAAAACACCTGCTGTAACTCCAGTTGGTACTCCAATTGCCAAAAGACTTGCCGGGACTACAGTCGGTACTCCCATCGCCCTTCCGCTTGGTACTCCCAATGGAGCAGCCGATGGAGAACTGGCAGCCAACAAAGTCTTCAGACGCGAGTCACAAGAGGATGCTCTGTCGCCATCCGTCTTCGCGTTCGCGTACTTACAGCCTGCCGAGGAGGATAGCAGCGACCTCATCACTGCCAACAAGATCTTTTTAGCTGACGGCGAATCCTCGGCCAATAAGGTCTTCAAACGTGACATTCGGCTTGCAAATGATCCAGCTGATGCTCTCTCCCCGTCTGTCTTCGCGTTTGCCTATGTTCACTCTGCGGATGAGAATGACAGCGACCTCATCACTGCCAACAAGGTCTTCAAGAGGGGTCTCATCAATGCCAGCAACCCTGCCGACGGCGAGGCATCGGTTAATAAGATCTTTCAAGTCGACGGCGAGGCATTGGCGAACAGGATATTTGTTGCTGATGGCGAGTCATCTGTCAACAAGGCTTTTCTAGCTGAGGGCCAGGCTTCGGCTAATAAGGTCTTCAAAAGACGTCTCATACTCGCCAGCGACCCGGCCGATGGCCCGGTCTCAGCTAACAAGGTCTTTCTAGCTGACGGCGAGGCATCGGCTAACAAAGTCGCCAAGAGAGGTCTCATCCTCACCGACGATGACTCGAACAGCGCGGGTTTCTACTCGATCTACTGGAATGCGGCAAGTGACGGATCCCAAGATGCCACTGCTACTCTTCGGGGAGCTACCGCTGGTGCTGGTCCTATCGCTCTCCCGCTTCTCGCGAATTAAGCACGGGGTGCAACGATATCAGGCACAAAATATCAGAAAGCCTCAACAAAGGAATCTGTGGTGATAGACGTGAACCCAGCCTTTTGTTTCTCTGGAAGAACAATTGGCGAGCATCAAAATTTGGCGATGCAAAGGGACAACGAAAATCAAGAGACTTTTCAACTCGAGATCATCATTGCTGTGATATAGCAATGGTCATGGGAGAAGGAAGTTGAAATACAAACTCTCGTTAAGTATTTGAAAATCGCTGAATTAGTTAGTTTATCAGAATGCATTGCTTCGCTCTTAATCCCTCAGCCCCCGATGTTTATAACAGTGAACCAAGGTAACCCTGATTGATATACACAAGAGATCGTTTTGCAGAGACAAGTCTTCCCGATGGACTGTCTGTGGTTTATCCAAGCCAGCGCCATGTAGAGGGCGAAACAAAAACGGGCAGTAGATACTTTGTGGTCCGTCCTCAGGCGAGGTGTGAGGAATCATGTCACCTCTACCTTACCGGCTCGGGTCAGCTCCATGTCACTATGACGGTGCCAGGGGGAATCTTGCGCACAGGATTGTTTGGGGGAGGATGTGGACCAGGCTCAACACGGGCATCGAAGATCTTTCAGGTATGCTGTACCATCCTCCAAAATATCCAGCTGCTCCTTCTCACGTGCATCATATTTTCGCCTGACATCGCGAACTCCCGCAACTTGAAACGGATGCTGGAGGGAAAGAGCTTCGGGCTTGGTCGAGGCTTCAGACCAGGGTCCATGAGTTTGTCTCCTTATTTTGGAAAACGAGAGACGAAAAGGAGGCTCAGCTAGGCTCCTCCGGCACATCCAACTGGTCTTCCTTCATTGTGAAGAATGGCAGCCAGACTCAAAGCTACGAGAAATCTCAGCATTGGAAAAGTAACTGAGATCTCGAACATAAGAATCAGGGAGAATGCGTTGTAGTCAATGATCGTGCAACTTCTTTCCCTTTTGCGTTGCCTCGGCTAAGAGTCAGCAATCTTCCAAAGTGGAAAGGCAGACTTTAAGGCTGAGCAATTTGTTCTCGACTCGCGATCCATCTAAAGCAAAGAGCAGGACTACACTGTTCAGTGCTCAAAGAGCTCCACCACGAAAGGGAATCTGATGGAAAATTTGTGGCATGTCCATTGCCCACAGGAATTTGACTGGAAACTCCAGTATTTCAGGTTCGTTGCCAGTTTGTCCACCTGGGGTCTTGATGGGACACACAGCGAGGGCCTTGCTCTTCCTCTTCAGCCTTCTAGATCACTCGTCCTCACCGGCACTAGCATTGTCAATCGCGATTTGACGCGCTCGCGACAAGTGATCGCACCTTTTGGCAGCTACCGCAACTTCTGCCACAAACGTAGAGGGGCAACCTTGGGTGGCTAAGTATGTTGTGAAGTCCACGTCGGCGAGAGATAAATCCCTCGCTCTACCGCTCTAGCCTCACGCAATACGGCATTCCCCGAACCCTGGTGTTGCCCTCGAAAATTTTCCAGGTACTGATACGAGGTATGGCTGACATGCAGAGTTGCGAGTGCGGCTGCCGTGCAAGAAAAAGTTACAGGAAAGTGAAAGATAGAGGATGAGAACGGCTTTGACTCGGATCAAGAGGACTATATGTCAACGAGGATTTCGAACACCCTGGCCTCGCCAAGAGATAGAGCGAGCTGGCCATTCTCGCACGGAAGAAAAGGCAACTTGTTGACTTGTCACAACAAAATGTCGGTGCCAAAGAGGTAGCCATCGGACGTGGCCGGCCAATGAAGTCGACAAGAGAGCTTGGAAGGAATTTTGTTCTGCCGCAGGTTGTCTGGTCAATCAGATTAGAAGATCGAGCCTGTTTGCCCGAGTCGGGTGCTTCACCCCTAACAGGTCTAGTAGAGTCGACAGTTGCCAAGGAAGCTTAACTCCTTATTTCACGCTCATGACCCGCCGTTGCCACGTCTGGACTCTCAAATCGTGGATACAACCCCCTCGTTTGTAGGTGCCATCCCGATATCAAAGACAAGGGAAGAGTGTAACCTGAGACGAGCTCATCCAAATATCCGACAAACAGCTGCCACATATCGCTGGGGAATAGCATTGTCTAGAAATGCCCATCATGTTGCCGCCGATAAGTACATTCGCTGAACGGATGCTACCATCCTCGTCCCTCTTTCGCCATCTCGTCCTTCGCCCCTACCTGTCTGTGAAATGGCACCTCGTCATACCGCTGTAGCTATAAAGACCTTCAGACGCCCACGGACTCGGGTCAGAGATACACCACTCCTCATACTCACATTTCTCTCCACTGGTCCCTCACCGTGCCTGTTGACAACGCTGAGACTGCCAGGGCCGGTGGTCTGCAACACCTGGAGGCCGACAATGGCCGTCAAGGCGCCACCACCAAGAATGAAGTTGTGCAGTTCGTTCGCCACGACTCAGAATATGACAATGCTCCTACACAAGAGGAGCTTCATGGACCCAATGCTCTTCGCCGAGTCGCCGTGCCCATTCCATGGTCAGTGTACACGGTCGCCTTTGTGGAGCTTTGCGAGCGTTTCTCCTACTACGGAACCCAGGTTGTTTGTATGCCTCAAAAATGAAATATCTGCTGTTTTTACAGGCCACTAAACATCCATTACAGACTCCAACTTTGTGAACCACTCTCTTCCACTCCCTGCGCCGAATGGTCCGCCGGGATCTCACCATAACACTGGGGCTGGTGGTGGCTCCGACCAGGGTATCTCTGGTGCTCTGGGTCAAGGTCCTCGGACCGCCAATGGCATCAATACCTTCAACACCTTCTGGGTGTATTGTGTGCCCCTTCTTGGAGCCTACAGTAAGTCCCCTTTCGCTGGTGTCACCATAGGCTTTTCATGACCCGGCCACTCAAGATTTCAGGGCGAGGCTAACTCGAGACAGTGGCCGATGAACACTGGGGAAGATACAAGACCATCTGCGTGTCTATTGCTATTGCTATCATCGGTCACATCGTCCTCGTTATTTCTGCTATCCCACCAGTCATCACAACACCACCGCTTGCTATGCCGTTTTTATGCTCGGTCTGATCATCATGGGATTTGGGACTGGTAGTTTCAAACCCAATATCTCGCCTTTGATCGTCGAACAAATCGATGTGACCAGAGCCTTTGTCAAGACGTTATCCTCCGGAGAACGCGTGATTGTAGATCCGATCATCACGCAGAGCAGGATATATCATTACTTCTACCTCTTCATCAACATTGGCGCACTTGTTGGCCAAATTGGCATGGTATGTTCCCCTCTGAGAACTGTGCTTGCCATCCAAAGCTCACCATTATGCCCAGGTCTACGCCGAGAAATATGTGGGGTTCTGGCTTTCGTTCCTACTCCCTCTCCTAGCCTTCCTAACGACTCCTTTTGTCATGTGGTGGGGACGCAACCGCTATCAGCAAAGACCACCAGCTGGATCCGTCGTAACCAAGGCCGTCCGCTGCCTCGTCTACAGAATGAAGGGTCGCTGGTCTTTCAACCCAGTCACCATGTGGAAGCATACCAGCAACGGTTCGATTCGGGAAGCAGTGAAGCCTTCCAATATTCAGCCCTCTCAGCGGCCCGTGTGGATGACGTTTGATGATGCTTGGGTGGACGAAGTCCGCCGTGGCTTTGCTGCCTGCGCGGTCTTCTGTTACTACCCGCTTTACTGGCTTGCATACGGTCAACTGACCAACAACTTTACTGCTCAAGCAGGCACAATGAAGCTGAACGGTGTGCCCAACGAGTAGGTTCATCTTCTGCCATGTTGTGTGGTGCATCTGCACACATGCTGACTGGAGTTTCTTGTAGTGTTGTCAACAACCTCGACCCTTTCGCCCTCATTATCTTCATCCCCCTCTGCGACTCATTCCTTTACCCTGGTCTGCGAAAATTGGGCTTCAACTTCACTGCACTGAAAAAAATTACTGCGGGCTTTTGGCTCGCGGCGGCAGCCATGATATGGGCTGCAGTTGTTCAGTTTTACATCTATAAGAGATCACCATGCGGGTACCAGGCCAACAGCTGCTTCAATGACGATGGCTCTGTCAACCCGGCGCCTCTCAACGTCTGGATTCAAACGGGTTGCTATGTTCTCATTGCCCTCTCCGAGATCTTCGCGTCGATCACATCCCTGGAGTATGCATATTCCAAAGCGTCCAAGAACATGCGCTCTCTAGTCCAGGCTATCGCTCTCTTCACAAATCTCGGCTGCTATCGCCGAGGCTTTGAATCGTCTTTCGGGTGATCCGTTGCTTGTCTGGAACTACGGTGTGTTTGCTGTGGTTGCCTTTGTTGGTGGCTGCTTGTTCATCTGGCAATTCTGGTCGCTTGACCAGCAGAAGGATGAACTCAACTTGTTTCCCGGGGGTTTTGTGGTGGCGCAAAAGGATGTCGAGGAGGTCTCGATCAGTGAGCCTCTACCGCATACAATTGACGAGAAGAAATAAACTGGACATGGCGGGTTAGATAGTGAAACTTGCGAAAATCTCTGAAGGGATTGTCGCTGATCCGCAACCTCTTTGGTGCTATCTCTGCGACCCCTGAGAACACTTCTCCCACAATTGTCGTCCCACGGACTGAGTGCTCTATTTCAGCTACTGAATGATGCTACCATCCGAGTTTATGCCGTACTTTCGAGAGTCACCGCGGTAACCGTGCTCGTGTAGTGAAATAGACGAAAGTAACAGAACGCAATCTTGATCCTCATCTACTGAGTCTCCTGAGAAAGGAGGTTGTTCAGTGGAACCAAACGGTAAGAGCCAGGCCTTCTGACACCGACCGACAATCAGTGGTCAATCCCGAAAGGCAATGAACGCTCGCGTCGTGGTCAGTCTCGTCGACCGAGGCAAAATTCCAGTCGATTCAGCCGCCCAGCTTTGTAGTGAATGGTTTTCCTCACCATCTTACACTCCGAGTGTGCCCGAGCGTGGAGGTGGCGAACGCAGCTCGATATACCCATCAACATCAAGGTACTTGTATGGACAGGCTCTTGGCAATTTCCATGGCGCTCAATGGGAATGGAGCTGGGTAACCGAAGCATCTGCCGCAGGCTTGAGTTACGCACGAAGTTCGTTAAAATACGTGGGGCGGGGGGGCTCACTAATCCCCAAAGAAGCTGAAGAGGGTGAATCGATGATTTGAACCGAGGCATCTGGACAAGGCTTGACCTTCCAAACCTGGCGATGATAATTTTGGCCCGATCATGACACCTGCTTGCTTCAAGGGCAGTGAGCAGCTTAAATACCAATCTTCCCCTTCCCTTGAAGCCCTTGATTCAAGCAGGCTGGCTTCTTCCTGTCCCTATCTTTGTTTCTAATCGCTTTCCGGTTCCTCCGAAACTCCCTCGAGATGCCTACGAATCCAGAATGGGTCAAGGCCCTCAAACCGTCTGGTCCTCAAGGTTCCGAGCTGCTCTCCCAAGAGAGAGCCAAATCCAGCCTCGACGTCGATCAGCTCGCTGATTTCATGTTTACACGGGAGAACCTCGAGAGAAATGAACGTATTCTTAGGATCCTTCAAGCCGATCCTGTTTTCGACAAGTCACAAAACTACTTTCGAGGGAGAATCAGCCGGATTGAAGCGGCGTTGGCTAGAGGGAAGAGACTGCATCAGTTGGAGGTCAAACATAAATGGTCAAGAGATGAATATCAGACAGCCAATGATCTAATCAGCGAGCCAACTCCTTATGGCCTGCATGCGAGCATGTTCGTTGTCACTCTGCGCGAGCAAGGTACTCCCGAACAGCACAAGCTCTTCCTAGACAAGGCGGAGGCGTATAAGATTATTGGCTGCTATGCTCAGACTGAACTTGGTCACGGCTCGAATGTCAGGGGATTGGAGACCACTGCTACCTGGAACTCCGACGACAAGACTTTCACAATCAATTCGCCATACCTCACTGCCTCAAAGTGGTGGATTGGCTCGCTTGGAAGAACTGCCAACTATGCCATTGTCATGGCACAACTGTTCATCGACGGTAAATCATACGGCCCTCATCCTTTCGTGGTACAGGTCAGGGATCTGGAAACTCATCAACCGCTCACTGGCGTTCACGTCGGTGATATTGGCCCAAAGTTTGGATACAACACCATGGATAATGGTTTCCTCTTATTCAAGAACGTCAAAATTCCACACGTCAATATGCTGGCTCGCTTCTCCAGGGTCGATCCCAACACCAACAAATACGTCCGCCCTTCAAACCCTTCTCTCGTCTACGGTACCCTCACCTTCGTTCGAAGCACCATCGTCCTGCAAGCGGGTTCTACCCTGGCCCGTGGCGTCACCATTGCCACCCGTTACTGTGCTGTGCGACGACAATTCCAAGATCGGGATATCCACGAACCCGGTGAAAATCAGGTTCTCAACTACACCATGGTCCAGATTCGACTGCTACCGTTGCTCGCAGCAACCTACGCCCTCCACTTCACAGGCAAGAGCATGATCCGATTGTATCAGGAAAACCAGAAACGCATGAGCGCCGGTGATGCTGGCAAGCTATCCGACTCCACTCGGGGACCAGGACCAGAGGAGCTTAATCCAGGCACCGATCTTCTGGCCGACTTACATTCCACAAGTTGCGCCTTGAAAGCCTACGGTTCCACCACCGCGGCGGAGGGCCTGGAAGTTTGTCGTCGCGCCTGCGGCGGTCATGGGTACTCGTCCTTCGCTGGTATCGGTGCATGGTACGCGGACTATCTTCCCACAGTGACTTGGGAGGGCGACAACTACATGCTCACACAGCAAGTGTCCCGATACCTCTTGAAATCTGCCCGGAGCGTTCTCGCTGGTAAGGCGGCAAAGAATGACACCACACGGATCCTGACTGATTTCATCCGCCGTCGCGACATTGGCTGTGCATTCGATGTGATTGGCAACGACGAAGACCTGGTCGCAGCATTCGCATGGCGTGTTTCCTTCTTGACTTTTGAGGCTCTTCGTCACCGCGATGAGGACAAGCAATCCTGGAACTCCTTGCTTGTGGACTTCTGGCGTTTGTCCACAGCACATGCCCAGTATATGATCGTCAAGAACTTCCATGATGCGTTGCAGGATCAGGCCACCAAGAAACAATTGGACGAATACACGGTGACGTTGTTGCACAAGTTGTTCCGTCTGTATGCTCTGCATACACTTGAACGCGAAGCATCAGAATTCTACTCATCCGCCGCAGTGACGGTTCGCCAAATTACGTTGGCACGCACAAAGACGGTGATGAAACTGCTCGAGGAGATCCGCCCCCATGCTGTTCGATTGGTCGATGCGTGGAAGTTTTCCGACTGGCAACTCGATTCATCCCTCGGAAGATACGATGGCAATGTGTACGAGGACATGTTCCACCGGGCGAGTGAGTTGAATCCGCTGAACAACGTGGTGTTCGATCCATACCCAGATTCCAAGACGCTGTTCAGAAAGGACGAGAGACAGGATTTGAGGAGCAAGCTATGAAAACACTTAGAGTCTTTGTGCTTCTTGTATGTTTGAGTATAGGCTTTTTCACGCACACACCCTTGGTTATGTTGACATGGAAAGCTTGGAAAGCGTGGAAAGCGGTCAACGTCCCCATAGACTCGGTATAGATAAAATCTCAGGATACACGTTATCTATGGAGTTGACCGAATCACAGGGCCAATTCTGCATCTCATCCTGAAGAGTCTGCATTTATTATAGTTCACCATAGCCAATGATTTCGATACGACTCCTTTCGAGATTGGAATAAGAAAAACACAAAGCTAAGGAGAAATAAAATTGGCAGAGTTGCGTATGTGGGTATCTCATTTATGATCGCTCCATGTTGCCTCGCCCATGCGCCAGCTTGCTCTTTTCCAATGCTGTATCCATTGCTACACCAAAACCCCTTCGCAGCGAGACGAAATCGCAAATCGACAGCGACAGTGAAAGCCGCCGCCCAGATATTGCGACGACGGACTCAAAAGGATGGACGGATTCAGCCAACGGATGTTCTCCGGCAAGGTTTCGTCTCCTCCATAATTGACGCCTGGGTTTTTCGGCTACAGATGTGGTGAACAAAGTATTGTGCCGTAATATCTGTCGTCCCATTGATTCACATGTCTAATTTGCAGTTTTAGAGGGCGCCAACGTCGATCTCTTCCCAACCCTTGGGCCCAATCGCTTCGTAGACACCCACGCGCCGACTTAGAACCGTACCCAATCCCCTGTGAACTTCAATCTGAAAGGGTTCAAAAGGCATCTTCTCCCCGTCGACTGAGAAATGGCCAGCGTCTCGATTTATGTTCTTTCTGTAGTTGCTCTGGCCGGCCGCTCGACCCTGCTTGTACTGCCCATGGTCGCTGTCTCCTGCAGACTCTGCCATTGTCCCATAGCGCGGAATGACACGGAGGGCGCTGACTTTCCGGACGCGTACGCTTTCCTTGTCAAAAAAGGTGCCTTTAGGAACGGAAAGCAGGAGGTCGATGGCTTTCCGTCTCGGAATGTCGCCATCGATGGTGACTAGATCGAGCAGGCCATCCGAAGGAAGAGAAGCAGGAAAGAATGGGGCATCCGCCGTCATTATGGTCATGTTGCCGCAGTAAAAGTTGCCCAGATTGGGGTAGGGAGTCAGAGGGGTCCAGCCAGCGTCGGTGGGCAGAGGATCATTGACCGTCCCATACTGTAGTGGGGGGAGTCCAAGACTTTTGGACATATCCAACGGCCCATCCAGATCAGCATGAGAGATGGGAGCTTGGGTCGTTCTTTTAGCCATGTAGCGGGCGTAGTGTTTCTTTATTTCCTCCTTGTCCTCGATCTCGGTCTTGACAGCGATCTCACAAGGGTAAAGCGTCTTGCCCAGGAGTCGGACGAGAAATCCGTAGAAAAATCTTGCGTCACCCATCCATCGAAGGTTCTCTGTTCCCAGGTCACTTTCTGCCACTATGCCGAGCGATTGCGACAAGAACGAAAGCGTCCTGGTATTTCCCTGTGTGATACTCGCGAGGTCCAAAGGAGTCCGCACACCTTTCACAATGCAGAGGGCGGCGGTGCTGCATTCACCGGTTCCGGTCAGATTCCACGCCATACCGTTTCCACTACCACAGGGTAACTGGACGACTGCCACTTTTCTGAGGGCCTCAGCGGCATTTGGTTTCCTTGCGAGGCCGTTTATACATTCATGGGGCAAGCCATCCCCAGACACACTCGCAATGGCGTCGAATGCGTTAATGTCCAAATTTTGAGCAATCTCGACCGCGTGGCCACGATGCGTTGTCTGCTCGGCGTCGATTTCGCATCGGGCTGCCGCAAATACAGGTTCAATCTCTTTGCTGTACTGTTTAACCGCCTTTCCCTTTCCTCCAAAGGGGTTTATCAGAACTTTTATCCTTTTATTGCGTTGAGCTTGGCCGTATGACCGTCGTAACAGACGCTCGACCCATCTCTCTGCCTTTTCCAGTATCGCGGTAGAATTGTCAAGGGTATAGTTGATATATGCGAC